AAAAATGCCTTTGTGAGTTCTTACCAAAAGTGAATATGAGTCCTGTCTAGTTGAACATACCATTTAGCTGTAGATCCTGTAAGATTATCATGAAATACATGCATCAATAGCTTCTCGTCACGAGCATGTGCTACTATTTTACGATAATACATGTTGACATAAGTCATTGGACATTTTGTACTATCATATTTTTCAAATTTTAGAACCTTGAATTTATATGGAATAACCACGTTTGGGACCAAACAAAGTTCAGTTGCATCTATTGAGCCATAAAAATTCCTTTTCTCTACAGTCTCAAGTCTTTCTTCTAATAACTTCATCTTTTACTAGGGCATTGGTATCTTTTACTTTCTCAGATATCTTTTTCTTAGCTTTTCCATCTCTTTAGGATTATCCAAGTCTAGAATCAGGATTGGCTCAGATGGCTTTTCTACCATGACAGTATTAGTAAAATTTTGAAATTATCTTAGAGTAAGTGCGGATGTCATTCCTAGATAAGGATTGGAATATCTTTCGGGAGTAGGAATTTGAATTTTAATTCTTTGAAAAGGTTGGGTTAGCCATGGCTCAAATCGTGAAAGTATATAGGATCCACCATATTTGGTGATTATTCTTGAAAGCTGGGATTTTTTTCTACTAGTTTTCTTTTATCAAGATCTTTGAGCATGCCCATTATCTTATCAATATCCCCTTTTAGTTCTTCTTAAGCCATTTCCATGCTTTCAAATTGACTAGCCTGTTCTTGTTCCATAATTCTTGTTTGAGCTCTGGTATTGTATGAATGACAAGTAGTATGAGTCAAAATTTTTAGTGGGCAAGCTATTCTTGAACCTTTATTACCATAAATTTTTTTTTTTAAATCAGAATGCCATTTGTTGAAAATTTTATTTTTCATTTTTTATTTTTGAAAGAAAACAAAAATGGTGCACATGATGCATGAATACAAGTGAGAAATATTTACTCATAGATAAATTTCATCACTAGAAATTTTCATTGATTTATACAACTTTTGTTACATGAGATTTATTATTTTAGAAGAGGATAAACAAATCTGTAGTTCTATGGGATCCATGAAAAACCTCTAGGAAAAAATATCTCCTAGGGCAAATACTTTGACGCAAAACTATGTGGTATGATTTATGTAAAAAGAAAAAGAAAGGAAAATAAAATTGAGTTAGTGTAAGAATGTGGTTTGAGAAAAAAATTTTGAGAGATTTTTTTTTGTGTTTCTGTTTTGTTGTTTTGTTTTGCTTTGTTTTGTATTTTTACAGTTTTGGACTTAGGTACTTTCTACAAAAAGTTAGCAAGGCTCTACCTAAGGTTGACTTCCTGTAGCTTATTACGTGCTTAGTTTGGTTTGACACGGATCTAAAAGTTCCTAAATTGTTCCTCACTATCGTCCATGTTAGGCTAGTAAGGTATCTCGATCCTCACCCATTACAGGTTACGAACGAAAAGGGTTCAATTTGGGTGAAAGTATTTCACTTACCATTACAGAGATTATCACCTCACGATGGCATAGGTACTTTACTTTCTTCTATAAAGGATGAAGCCCGGGTATAGAGCTCATGCATGAGATGCATCGTGTCATTATGTATGTATATGTTTCCTAATTTATCAAGAGTAATATAAAAGTAAAGCATAAGAGACATCATAAAAGAAACGTGTGTGAAATTTTCTTTTTGTTTTCGATTTTTTTGCTATTTTTTTTATTGATAGTGAAAAATAAAAATCTAAAATTTAAATACCGGTTAGGATTGTTTAAATTAAAATTTAAGGATAACATGTAGTTAATTTTAACCTAACTCTCAAAAACAAATAGCATCCCCAGTGGAGTCACCAAGCTGTCCTAACGATTTTGTGTTCGTCGGATGAATTTGAAAAAAAACCAAAAAAAAGAGTCGCCACCAATCTTTTTGGGCTAGGTGCAATTGGCCACCTATTAAAATTTATCATTTTAATTAGATTTTTAAAATTTATTAAAAAGATAATTTTATGGTCTGTGAAACAGTCGGGGTTCGGGAGTCAATTACACGTGGAGAAGGATTAACACCCTCACAGCACCCGTTTAAAATGGTACCAATTAATTATATGTTATCCATTGATTTTAATAAAAACAGTCTTATTTTTTATGTTTGAAAAATAATTTTCTTGATATTTTATTTATTGGAAATTATTTTTTTTAATTTTATTTTATTTTTAGTGCTCAAATTTTATTCGAAAAAAATAAATTAGAACCTTTTTATCGAAATAATTCTTAAAATGTTTTAGTACATTGGTAATATTAGAAGAACATTTTCTCACCTAAAGATTTTTTAGGCATCGCTTCTTAGAATACCTTAGAATCTCATTCTCGAATATTCGAATTTATTTTTTGTAAAAACCATGTTGTGAATGCAATGCAAAAAATGCCAATATATATAATGCACACATTTTGTTATTGATTTTTATTATCTTTTTATTATTATTAATGTTTTGTTGAAGAAAAGAGGAATTTTTATTATGTTGAAGATTTTTTATAAATATTTCAATACATTTTGTAATATTAAAAAAAATCTTCTCACATAAGGATTTCTTAAAGCATCTCTACTCGGAATACTTTTAGAATTCAATCATTGAATAATATTTCCTCTTTCCTCATTTTTATTATTATTCCTTTATCACTTTGTTTTTTAATAAATTAGTTAATTTCTATTTACTAATGTATAACAAAAAAATTTTTATTGTATTGAAAATTTTTATAAATACTCTAATACACTGATAGTATTTAAAAAAATCTTCTCACCTAAAGATTTTGTAAGTATCATTACTCAGAGTACCCTTGAATCTCATCATTAGATAAAATTTTTCCTTTTTACATTTTTTTATTAATTTTGCATTATTATTAAAAAGTTTATTTTTATTTTTTTAATTTATCTTAAAATTAACAAAATTATAAAAAATTTTAACTGCACAAATATTTATTCTAACAATTTTAAACATTTTAATATGCATGAATATTATAAAAATAATATATAAGAAATTAAAAAAAAAATTTTTTTACCTGAACCAGACTAGTCAACGGTCCGATCAATATAGGTTTAGGCGGTTTGGTGGTCTGGTCAAGTTTAGCAATTCGAGGCCGATTTGGCTTGGTCTGGGTGAGTTTAGCTGGATTGATCAGAGGTTAAATGAGAAGCGGGTCATCAGGTCAGATACACGGATTTTGAGTCAGGTCATGGGCTGACACATAGATCCTTAGAGCTCAAAACGACGTCGTTTTAGCCCTTTAATGAAACAACGTCTTTTTGGCTTTCAACTTTTTATAAAAGCCAAATTTTTTTCACTCATTTTTCTTTTCTCCCTCTCTCTCTAAACCCATCCCTCTCTCAGAGTCTCTCTCTCTCTAGATGATCAATCGATGGTCGATCACTGATTGTCGGTCATCGGTGCCATCGTCGACTGTCGAAAAATCTTAAAAATTCTTAAAAAATTCTCCTTTGCCTCATGAACACAGATACAATCTCTTTTTCACCAAAAAGGGTCCCAAACGGCCTGAATCGACCTTCAAAGTTTCAGCTAAACTTTTTTTTTGGTATTTTGACTTTTTTTTTAGACTAACGATGTTGTGTTTTTTTTTTTTTTTTGCAAGGGTTTCGGTGCTGGGTTCCCTATTCCAAGGAACTGTGTTTTTTATTTTTTCTTTGGCAAAATGCTTTTTTTTTAAAATTTTTTACACGGTATTCCTCTTTCTTCTTCCCTTTTTACTGCTTCATTGCTCTACTTATAGAGCAAAAGAAGACCAAAATCTCAAAAATCTAAGATTTTGGTGACCTAGGATTATGGTGGCCACCGACTATCAAAACGGTTGTCGGTGGCTATCAGGACTGCTGATAGCGTTTGTTAGAGCCACTATAAAAAAAAAAAAAAGAAAAGGAAAAGAGAAATGGAAAAAAAAGAAAAAATAAATAAAAATAATAAAATGGTGCCTACAACATAATATTAGATTAACATTAATGTGATGAATAACTTGTACATTATAATAAAATATAACTATGGTAATGAATTTTAAAAATTTTTATTTTTATAATTGAATTATGAATTTATCAACTAATATAGTATATAAAAGATTATTTATTCATGTGTCATCATTTGAAACTAATTACATTATAAATGAGTATCATATTAATTAATAAATTTATAATTCAGATACCACATTAAAAATTTTTTAAATTAAGGTATTACATTAAATATTTTATTATTGTTTTAGGATCATTCATAATATTAACTCATTGTATTATAACTGAATGATTGAATTTTTAAATTCTTCCAGATTAAATAATTAAAATATGTTCATTTATTTATTTCATTAGTTTGGATAAGCACCATATGCCTATTTAATCAGGATTTATAAAATATCAACAACAAATCAAGCATTAGTAAGATTAGAAACATATATAATACTTGTTCTCTTCCAAATTGTTAGTCTCTCCTTAACTTCCACGAAATTAAAAAAAATTAATTTTAATACGAATAATATTAATTTTTATTATTTTATAAATTTAATGTTTCATAATTTTTAAAGCTAAAAAATAAAAATAATTTTAAAATATAGAAAAAAAAAAGAGATTTAAGAGTTCAAAAAGAGAAAGAAAACATAATATTGGAACATTCCAAAAAAAAAAAAGATTAAAAAAAATGACAAAAAGAATATATTAGTCTTTTGAATTTAAATTATGATGTAACAAACATTTAAATTTAACTTGTAGACAACAAATTCTGTGTGTATATATACTCACAAAACTAATTAATCAGAAACTTGATTCAAAATCAAACGAATCAGAAAAATCTTCTCCATTATTAAAAATTAGTGTTCACTACTTGATCTTAAAGTGATTAATTAATATATATGCAGATAATCTATGATTGAAATTAAATGTTATCTTTTTAGAGAAATTACAATTTAGATAAATTTAATATAAAATTAAACTAAATTCATACACAATAAATTTGAACCCCATATCTCAAAAGTTCAAGATTTTTTTTCTTGCCACAACTAAAAATTGAAAGAGTCAAGTGGAATTAATTTCCACTTCCATAATTCGAAATTGGAAGAACAATTACTATTCTTAGAATAGGGTGACACATAATATATAATTGGCTAGCTCTTGAAGTAATGATAAATCTCTTAGGCCAAGAGAATTAATGAACTTAAAAAAACTACAATCAAATATCCAAGGCTGAAGAATGGATTATCTCCCTCCAGTTGCCTTATTTGTGAAAAAAAAAATAGAAAAGGATAAGGTATAGATTCAAATAGTTTAAGGGCACTTGGGTCCTCCTTCCTTGGTCTTCCAATTGTTGTAGCAAGGGCAGACCTGCTTGTTGCCATAAGTCCCAGGAGGGACGCATAGGCATTTGGCACAGCATTTGAGACAGAAGAACATGCATGGCTTCTTGTGAGATGTAGCTGAGCATCGATAACTGCATCTTGGTTTGCAATCTGTATGTAATTAAACCACAAACAAATCACAAATGGTTGGTGATTGATTAATCATGAAAACTATAATAAAATCCTATATATAGATCTGTCAATGGGCTAGGTTACAAGCTCGGCTCACAAGCCTTGAGTAGGGATTTTCAAATCTGAGCTTCATTCAGCTTGAGATATTAAATTATTAATAAAAAATTATTAATTGAATTTTAATTTAAAATTATAATTTAAAATATTAAAATATTATTTATTTATTTTTTAAAATCTGATGAATTAAGCATAACTTTAAATAAGATTTTTAAAATGTTGATTGAACCTAACTTGATTCGACTTAGCCCATAAATACTTTTATCAGATATCGTAACTAAGATTTACAAGCAATTTAGACACGAATAAACGGTTGTTATTCTCCCTTAATTATAAAATTAAAGTTTAAAAGTTCAAATTTTCATTATTTTTTTTTTATTTCTTAAGAATGACGACGTCCAAAGTCGATGCATTACCTGAAGGACGAAGCTTAGTACTACCACAAACCTGCATCAACAAATTAAGTTTATGAAGAAAACAAAGTTAAGATCAAAGAAAGAATAAAAAAAAACGAAGGAAAATATAAATGAAATAATTAAGTTCATATATATCTTAAATTCAGTGCATACCTCAGCCACATTGGATAGAGCAATCAAAATAAGCATACAACATGGCAGAAACAATGAAGTCCGTGAAGCCGCCATGTCGGAAAGATTTTCGAATGAAGAAAGGAAGAAGAATAAGTGCATATTTATAGGCAACAAAATTTAAAAAAAAAAGAAGAGGGATCTTAGAAAAGAGAAAGCATTATTAGAGGCGTGAAATTGGGGATTTAGGCATGAGATCTCACATGGGGGAGTGGGGTAAAGAAGTTAAAGCGATAAATGCGGCGTGTCCTTCGTTAGTCATTTTTCTTGCAAAAGTATTTAGTTTTGTCAACTTTAGTTATGTGCTTTTTGGCTTGTTTTCATGAGGTGGCTAAACAATTACGCTTTTCGGTGCTGCTTGATTGCAGTGATTGGAAAATCTCCTCGTTCTTCAAGGGTCTTTTTTTTTTTATGTGGGAAAATTTTTTGAACAATTATATTTTTTTCAAAACAATTATATCGTTTTAATTCTTTGAAGTAGTTATAATTGTTAAACTTTTGATAACGGTGCCTAAAAATGAAAAGAACTTAGGTTTTATTTATTTTAAGTCAAGTTTGTAAGTTTTGTTTATATTAAAAATATATTTACACGTGAGATAAATTTTTTTATTTGTAATTAACAATATTCATAATGAATTTAATAAATTAATAAGTATAATTTTATTTATATTTTTTAATAAAAATAATAATTCAAGAAAATTTATCAATTAATTTATATATAATATGTGAATTTCATTCTCATACCATTTATAAATAAATCACATTCAATCTACTTTATTAAATTTATCTTTCTAAACATAGTTAAGAGTATTAAAATAAACAATTGAAAAATAAAAAAATAAAACTAAAAGTATGATAAAAATTCCATTAAAAAAAAACCAACTTTAGATGGCATTTGAACATTTCCATTTATCATTCTTCTTCATACAGTTACAAATCCTTTTTACAACAAAGGATCGGGCTTGGGGCCATCCATTTTCAACATGGAAAGTATTGTTGGAGCTCCAAATTGGCGCATGAAACTTAACTCTTTTGCGCAGGTCTCGCCAACCATGCCTAATAATTGGATGGCTTTTTTCCCAATATTCGGCTGAATTGCTTTAACAGCTCTGCCACTCAAAATCGACAAATGAAGCTTCCAAAGTGGCTTAATCCATAAATTCACCGCCACAAATTTGACAAACGAAATTTCTCACATGCACACAGTTGTGGGTACATTGTCAACAGTTCTATTTCCTGTAACTATATAAAGACCGAATATTTTAGCTTTAATAAACCCAAAGCCAAAACCTGGTAACCCAAGTTTAGTGGGGGGCAAAACCCAAGGCATGAATGATTGGATGACTAGTCTAATATATATCATTACATTATATAGTATTAAAATAACCACTTGATTTGAATTAATAATCAAAGTACTCATAATCGTACATATGCACATATGCATGTGCAAAACCAACATGCCAAAAATAAATTATTTTTAAAATAACTTCGTCCTCACTTAATTAATATAATAATTTAATAGGGTTGCTTACTTAAATGTACAATAATTAATAATTAACTAATAATAATTTATTTATATAATAATTCATGCATAAATAGCAATTATTAGTTAAAAATTTTTAATTTAAAAATTATACAAGCAAAGTTGGTTGCATTCATGTCTCCATTTAACTATATTCGTTAACTTAATAATTTAATGATGATTTTCTTATATAGTAATTTACTTTTAATATTTCTTAGTGGAATATATATTATTGATCTTTTTATGAATAAATGTACATTTTTCTTTCAAAAAAATATATACCTTTTTTCTTTCAGAAAAATGTTACTATAATGTTTAACAATGGGCTATATGACTACACACAAAAAATAAATACTCATAAAATTATAATTTATTACTTTTATGCCATTTGTAAATATATAGCTACATAGTTAAATAATCCAACAAAAAAAGAACTATTCCTTTTTATTTATATTTCGATTTTGATATGGTATTAATATAATTTTTAATTTTACAAACAAAATTAAATGATTAATATATATTTTATTTTTAATTAAATTTTTTTATTTTTTAACATGCCGAATGCATCACCCATCATCCTACTAATCTCATTAATTGATTGGCCATATTTTATTAATGAAATAGTTGTAAAATTTAAAAATTTTATTAACAGTAAATGAAATAATTATATATATATATTTATATATATAAACACATCAATTTTAGAATGTTTAGCTAATTACAAGCTTTGGCTAACCGCATATTGCAGCGAGCAGAAAATAAATGAGATATAAATGTAAAGTTACAGGAAAATTTTATTCTAAAATCTTTTATTAGATGAAAAATGTATTTCTGATTATAATACAATGAAAAAAAATATTAAAAAAACATTTTTAGTAATAGTGCATTTATAGTGTGTGTGTGTGTGTGATAGAATTTGTATGTGATAAAAATAATTCTATGTTATTAGTTGAGATAATTAGATAATAACCCAGAGTCCTTCAAGTAAAAATCAAAGAAACTTAACTCATGATTTTTTTAATATTGTCAATTAAAAATTTATTGATTGAGACATGATAATTCCATGCACCTTTAGCATAATAGCCTGTCCAAGTTGTATTTAAAGACGGAAAATAGGAAAAATAATAAGCTTCTTATATATGTTCGTCAAGAGTTAAGTCTGGTGATTACGAAAGAAGCATAGAACTCAAAAGAGTTAATTACATTTTTTGTATTTAAATTTTTAAAAAAATTTATAAAAAAGTACATAAGGAAATAAAATGTATAATTTGCATTATAAACTTTTAAATTACGTATCATATTAATCAAACTCTAATCTTGTTAACATAGGAGTTTATATATATGGCATTTGAAAAATATTATCAAGTTATATGCCAATTACACATGCTATAAACATATATTTTTTCAATAAAAATTTAAAAATATATATTTTATTCAAACTATAAAAAATTGTATATTATCGATCAATTATTATTTGTCAATTAGCATTCATATGATATTCACATAAAATTTTTAAAAAATATTTAACACTTTTATTTGATAAATATATACATATGAAAAAATTATACTAGTTAATATCATTATATAGGTTAATTAAGTTAATAATATTAAAATTAAAATTAAAATAATACATTATTTAAAAGATCATGATACAAATTATATATTTTATTTTTAAAATATTAATTTATATATTTTACCAAAATTCAAATATAGAAAATGTAATTAACTCCATCCGAAACTATATCAAGGGCAAAATGAAGTTACATATTCTCAAAAGGGATATTTGGCATGTGCCTAAAACATAAAATAATAGTTGGAGTTGAAAAAAGCTACTATACTAAGACAATTAGTTGTTCAGTTTACAAGGTGTCATAACATTTAGATCTGGGGATCTATTGTTAGATATTGACTTTAGGAGTCATTATCAATCTTTTTTATTTAGGTACAATTGGTCACTTAAAAAATCTATCATTTCAAGAAACACTTTAGCTTAAAGGTCTCTAAAAGAATAGGTTCGGATCTACTAATTAGAATAGGGTTCGGGAGTTCGATTAGAGTGAGGAAGGTTATAATACCCTCATAACGCCTATCGAAAGATGGTACCAGCTTAATTTAATGTTATCCAATAAGCCTTAAAAATTTTACCAAGTAATTAATTTTTGAAAATTATTCTTAATTAACCCCAATACTTTTGACAAAAAATTAAGAAAATTCCCTCACCTCAAGAGTATGCAAGAAAACTATTATTTCACTTGCAGGATTCCATCGTCGGATTACTTAACATAAAAAAAATTTCAAGAAAAGGAAAAAAATAAAATAAAAAAGAGGAATAATGATTCAACTTTTGATATAAATCTTTTTCTTTTTTTTTTTAAAAAAAAACTCCTTGCTTTTGCACAAGAAAAATTGATACTTTCAACTTTTTCTTAAAATATTTTTTTTATTTTTAAGAAAAATTAGTACTTCCAACTTTTTCTCAAAGTGTTTTTTTTTCTGAAATTTTAATTTCGAGAAAAATTGATACTTTCAACTTTATCTCAAAATACTTTTTTTGATAATTTTTATTTTAGAAATTTCATTTTCAAGAAAAATTGATACTTTCAACTTTTTCCTAAAATATTTTTTAAACCTTTTTATTTTCAAGGAAAATTAATGCTTTCAACTTTCCCCTAAAATGCTTTTGAAAATTTTTATTTTAGAAATTTTATTTTTAAGGAAAATTGATACTTTCAACTTTTTCCTAAAAATATTTTTTAAACCTTTTTATTTTCAAGAGAAATTGATACTTTCAACTTCTCCTAAAAATATTGTTTTTAGAAATTTTTATCTTAGGAAAATCATTGAAAAATAAATAAAAATAAATAAAAAATTAAGGAATACCAAATAATTTTAATTTAGAAATAATAATAATAAATAAATATTAAAAAAAACTTTAAACTGCTCGACTCGACTTAAGAGACAGAAACAACTGAAAGGAGCGGCTCGACGAAAAACGGCTCGGTTCTACTGGAACCCAAGCAGAGACACGAGTCGTTGGTTCAGGTCATGTTATAGGTCGGGTCGGATCTTGACAAAACACGTGGATCCTAAGTTTATTAACTCTCAAAACGACGTCGTTTTCTGAAGGTATATAAGGCTGAAATTGGTTCTATCTTCATATTTTTCTTCTTTTTTCTCTCTCTTCCCTTCTTTTTTTTCTTCATTTTCTCTCTACCTGCGAAAAACTCCGATGGAATTCTTACTGGTTTTTGGGTTTTTTCGTCGAAAACGTGGCTAAAAAACTTGAATTTCGTTCAAAAAATTGCTCAAAATTTGAAAATTCCAGAAATTTTCCAAAAAAAAAATCACCAAAAATTTTAAAAAAATCCTAAAAACACTTCTGAACTTTTTAAACACCCTTTTTTGCATTTCTTTTCTCTTTATGTGTTTTCAGTGTCCTCTGTATTTTTGATCTGTGTGTATTTATAAGGATTCAATCTCAGAGTCCCTAACCAATCCTGATTCCCTTTCTGATTAGGTTTCTAATCGTTGAATTTATTCAATACATGGTTTAATCCAATTATGATTCCCTACTACCCTTATTTACGGCAGAATCCATTCCCATTTTAATTATTATCTTCTAACCAAAAATTAATCTAGAAAAGAAAAAAAGTAAAAGAAAAAATCTAGAAGAAAAATAAATTAATAAGTTGATAAATCACAAAAAAAAAACAAAAAACAAAAAATAATAAAATAATAAAAAATATATATAAATAAAC